GCCGACCATATTATTTCGGCTGGCTTAGTCGGCTAAGCCGGCTTAGCTGCGGCTGCCCTAGTCGGCTTACAACACTAGGCTCAGCCCAACCGGTTCACAAAGTTTGTATCACACTGGCAATAACGAATCGTTGGCCAGCATTATACGAATAAGTTTGTTGATTATCCGAAAGATGGTTGTGTATAAGTCTATTTTCCCGAACATAATATTGTCATGGAAAACCTAGAAAAATCTAAAAGCAGTAAAACCTCTCCCCTTGATTTATTGCCAGACGAAATTTGGATAAGGATTTTTATTGAACTTCCCGTGTCTACCCTTTGTCGGTGTCGTACGGTAAAGATCTTTAACAGTTTAACGGTTTATTTAACATCGTGATAGAAACGGATCTTACCAAATAATTTTTTTTTTTTTATTAAGGTCTCCAAAAAATGGTACTTCCAAAAATAGCTTTAATCGAAACTAGATAAACATGGATTATAATTTTGTACGTTATAATTGGTTTTTTTTTTTTTTTTTCTTTTTTCGATCTTTTAGTTATACTATTTCGTTGGACGAAACAATATGGCAACACCACAGCGCGATGCTGTTCGAGCCAGAGCCACTTCCACCTAGAACTAGATCTTCGGTAAATAGTTGGGAAAAATTTTATCGAATTCAATTAAATTGGAGACGATGAACTGCTACCAAAGTATCGCGCTTTAAAGCACACAGCAATAAAGTGACTGCCTTAAAATTGCGTGGGAATATATTGGTTACTGGTTCAAGTGAAAACTATCTTAAAGTTTGGAACATCAAAACTGGTGAATGCAACCATACTATTGATTTTGGTGCTGATGTTTTATGTGTCGATTTTCTTGAAGATATGGATGTTATCGCTTGTGGCTCATATTATGGGTATGATTTATTATTTATTCATTTGTTTGATAAGTATTGATAACTTGCTTCTTCAATCTGACATTTATTTTTTTAGGTATTTTGGGTGTAAAATATTTTCTCTTTCGAAAGGTGAATTCCTTGACCAATTTCTTTCAGGACAATGGATAGGAACTCAATGTATGGCCATGAACAAAGAATATATAGTATTAGGCACTTGTAAAGGTTTAATACATGTTATATCATGGGCTGACGGTAGAAAAGTCGCATCGTTTCATAAGCATCCTAATGCGGTTAGTTATGACTTTATTTTAAACCATTGTTTTCCGCATTTTATTTTTCAATTGCTTTATGTAAATAAACAATAGGTCGCTGGTGTACGGTTTATCGGTCGCAATATAATTCTTTCTGTTTCAACTAATGGTGCAATTGATACGTTCAATCTTGCTACAAATGAACATCACCAATATTATATTTCTCCAAGAACATCAATTAGTACCTGCGCATTTGATTATCAAGGTGAAGGTCGCGATCTTTTATGTATCGCTCCTTCTGGTTCTATTTTTCACTTAAAATGGAAAGCGATGGATCGCAGCATTGAATCATCTCAATGTTCAGAAACTGAGGAGGATAAAAAAATTAATTCATCTCAATGTTCAGAAACTGAGGAGAATAAAAAATATTGGCATATTTTTTCTCAAGATCCCGAAATTCATTATAAAAACGAAAATATTTTGTACCGTATGCTTTGTGCAGGAATTGATGCTAAATACAACCATGGAGTGATTGGTTCACTTGTTTCTTTCCCACCTAAGGGCCATCTTCTTGTTTACAACTTTCTTACGGGATTAAGTAGTAAGGATATAATATGCGGCCCAAAAAACTCTTCAAATGTAGAAGATGGTGTATTTAATATGTTAGGAATTGATGAAGAAAGAGTCGTGGCGGGTTGTTCAAGGGGTTTTATTTATTGTTTTGAGTTTGGTTTCAATGATTCAGACTCTGATGTGTTAAAGGAGTTTCAGGATGTACAAGGCAGTCCAAGTGCGAATCACAAAAAGCTTCAGGATACTCAAGGCAGTCCAAGTGTGGGTCACAGAAAGTTTCAGGATACTCAAGGCAGTCCAAGTGTGGGACACAGAAAGTTTCAGGATGCTCAAGGCAGTCCAAGTGTGGATTACAGAAATCAAGACTTGAACAAGAAATCCATTTCATCTTCAAATCAATCAACGTGCGAGAAGTTGGATAGTTTACTTTCAACTGATTACGATAATGATATAAATGAATTAGAAGAGAGTAAAGAATATTCATTAGATAATCAAGACTTTCGACATCCTCCATTGGAATTGTCAGAAACTTGCGAGTAATAAGATCATAAAAAACAAATTATTTATATTGATGTTGTTTGTTTATTACTATGACCGTTCTTTTTTTTTTTTTATAAATATTCTTTTGTTGCTTTTTCTATCGATATTGTTGTATTAAAATATTTGTGAACCATCGATTTTAGGATTCCGTGTGAATGTATATTACAGATGCAAAATAAATTTGAACAATATACCGATTTCATCCAAATAAATTATTAATTGGAGAGTACTATTTGTTTGCTATTCATTTCATAATAAAAATAAATACAACATTCTCTATATGATTGAGTAATGTTATGCTAATCATGAGTTATTATTATGTCTGAAGAGGTATCGCAATAATGTGATCTCCATTATGTCTTTGAATATAAAAAATTTTTTACTTTTAATACAAGTCTTAATTTTTAAGAATTAATTTATTTGTAGTTATAGGCTACATGTAGCCGTACTACAGGGGGGTGACAAAAATATTTCCACACCTAAGGACTTGGCTTATAACTCGAAAACCTACTAATTAATTTATGTCCTTGATTTGACTATAGTAATTCTTACTTCTTGAAGATTATTTTATATCATTTTTAGATCACATCTTTGCATAATTAGCAAGTTATTTAACTTTACTTTTAGGATTTTGATAAATTCTGTAAGTGTCTGTGTTTCTATGTGAATATTTTAATAACTATCAGTCTAATTTTAATGAAATTTTACCAGCTTATAGAGGAACCTTTTCTCTACCTACTATAAAAATTTGATCAAATTTTAATCAATAATTAGCTAAGAAATTTAAAAAAAAACAAAAATTTTATAGGTCAAACTTCTAAGCTAATTTTCTTAATGATTATTAGTCTAAAATTAACAATTTTTATTTTATTTAATAGATATGCACTTCCTCTACAATATAAAAAAAATTAAGCTAAATCTAATTACTAGTTGCAGAGATAAGTCAAATAATAAGTCAAATTTTATTCATTGTTATATATCTCAATTATCTTGACAACTAGTTACAGGCTTGCTAATTTTTTTTATTTATTTTGTAGAGGAGACATAGCACTTTTAAATAAAAAAAAGTTCACTAGATTTTAATTACTAGAAGTCAAGATAATTGAAGTTAAAATTCACTATTAGTTTGGTAATATTATGCTATGATTTTCATTGGTAATTGTCATGATTATTACATAACACAATTATAAAGGCATACTAAATTCACTTACATATACTTTCTAACTTTATAGTCTTTTATCAAATACCTTTTTTATTTTTATTTTTTTTATATCCAGCTAGACTAAACTCAAACTTTATTATAAGTTTGAACTGAGTTTGCAAACTAAAATATTTAGATATAGTTTTTGATTTTGAACAAGTTTATTTAAAGTATAAATATACATTTTTTTAGTAAAATATTGTGTAATGCAAATGTTTCTATATTTTTATTAATAAAAATATAGAAAATCTTGTATAATGCAATATTTTATTTATAAAATACATATTTGTGTTCTAAATAAACTGGTTCAGTGTTAAAAAATATATTATTTCAGTATAGTTGCTATATTTATCATAAAAATTGAAAAGAAGAAGCTTAATTTTGGAATTTTTTATCAAAAATCTAAAATTAAACATCTTCTCTTCAATTTTTACGATAAATATAGCAACTTATATTAACTAATATATTTTTAGCACTAATCAAGTTTATTTAGAGTATAAATATATATTTTGTTAGCAAAAAATTACGTAATGAAAAAGTTTCTATATTTTTATTAATAAAAATACAAAAACTCTTATATAACACAATATTTTATTAATAAAATATATCTTTATGTTCTAAGTAAACTAGTTTAGCACTAAAAAGTATATTAGTTTGATATATATTGCTATATTTATCATAAATATTGAAGAGAAGATTTTTAAATCTAAAATTTTTTATCAAAAATCCAAAATTAAGAATCTTCTCTTCGATTTTTATAATAAATATAGAAATTTATACCGAACTAATATATTTTATAGAGGTTTAGGCTGCAGATAAAAAACTAGATTTGTCTATTTAACATTTTTAGTTAGTCTGAGTTCTTATTCTTAGCACTAGATTTAAAATATAAAACCTTTTCTAATTTTGTAAAAAGTTTTCATTAAGTTTAATAAAGATAAGAGCATGGTCTTACCTTTAACATTAATATATATATATATATATATATATTATAGTGCTAAACCAGTTTACATAGAATATAAAGATATATTTTATTAATAAAATATTGTATTATATAAGAGTTTCTATATTTTTATTAATAAAAATAGAACCTTTTGCATCATGCAATATTTTGCTAACAAATATCTATTTATGCTCTAAGTAAACTTGTTCAGCATTATAAAATATATTAGTTTGGTATATTTATTGTAAAAATTAAAGAAAAGATGCTTAAATTTGGATTTTTAATAAAAAATTCTAAAATTAAGCATCTTTTCTTTAATATTTATGATAAATATAGCAATATATGCTAAACTAATATATTTTTTAATCCTAAACCAGTTTACTTAAAACATAAAGATATATTTTATATAGTTATTGTACAAGTTGTAAAAAATATACACGTAGGTATTTAATGACGGCAGGTGATTAGCGCAGATCATTTTATTTCACGGCATGGTCTAAGCCAATTATCTGCTATTATTAAACACCCACGTGCATATTTTTTACAACTTGCACAATAATGGTATTATTATGAAGTAGTTATTGATAATTATACTATTTTCTCATATTCGTATATCTATGTCATCGATTTAAACTTTTTTTTTTTATTTTCTTTTTTTTTTAGAATAATGTTATTGTTAAAATTAAGCTCCAAAAAAAAAGATAAATTAGTGATAATATAAAATGCAAAAATATGAGAATTTTTAGTGCAGCTATTAATAACATGGCTGCATAATAAAATAGATTAAATATCATGTTATACAAGATCTTCTATATTTTTATTAATAAAAATATAGAAGATTTTTGTATCATACAATATTTTGCCAACAAAATATATATTTATGCTTTAAGTAAACTTGTTCAGCATTATAAAATATATTAATTCAGTATATCATAGGTTTCTGAAAATAAGCTATCTCCAAAAATAAGCTACCTCCTCTTTTCTTGAAGAAGAAACATAAAAAAAATCTTTATTCTGAAAATAAGCTACTCCCAATAATTTTTCAAAATCCAGAAGTAGTTTATATATATAAAAGTCAAAATTCTATTAAGTAAATCGATGAAAGTTACTTAATAGGAGTTTTTCAAGACGTAAAAATACACATATCCTGAAAGTTTGAAGCAAATCAGAAAACTTTTTACTAAAATGTTTTTGCATTTTATATTCAAACGTAAAATGCAAAAACATCTTAGTAAAAAGTTCTCCAATTTGCTTCAAACTTTCAGAATATGTGTATTTTTACGTCCTGAACAACTTCTATTAAGTGACTTTCATCGATTTACTTAATAGAATTTTGACTTTATATGTAGAAACTACTTTCAAATTTTGAAAAAATAATAAAAATTAACTTTTCAAAATTTTACCCGAAAATAAGCTACCCCTATAATTTTTGTATAACTTTTTGGCCAAAAAAGGGTAGCTTATTTTTGGAAACCTATGGTAGATTTCTATATTTAATGTAAAAATTGAAGAAAAGATGCTTAATTTTGAAGTTTTGATGAAAAATTCTAAATCTCTTCAATATTTATAATAAATATAGCAATATATGCTAAACTAATGCATTCTATAGTGCTGAACCAGTTTACATAGAACATAAAGATATATTTTATTAATAAAATATTGCATTATATAAGATTTTTTATATTTTTATTAATAAAAATATAGAAACTTTTGCATCATACAATTTTTTGCTAACAAAATATATATTTATGCTCTAAATAAACTTGTTTAGGCTAAAAAATATATTAGCTTGATATAAATTGCTATATTTATTATAAAAATTGAAGAGAAAATATTTGATTTTGGATTTTTAATAAAAAATTCCAAAATTAAGCATCTTTTCTTTAATATTTATGATAAATATAGCAATATATACTGAACTAATGTATATTTTAGTGCTGAACTGGTTTACTTAGAATATAAAGATATATTTTATTAATAAAATATTGTTTATATAAGATTTTCTGTATCTTTATTAATAAAAATATAGAAACTTTTGCATTATGCAATTTTTTGCCAACAAAATATATATTTATGTTTTAAATAAACTTGTTTAGTGCTAAAAAATACATTAGTTCAATATAGGTTGCTATATTTATTATAAATATTAAAAAAAAATACTTAATTTTGAATTTTTGATAAAAAATTCTAAAATTAAGCTTCTTCTCTTTAATTTTTATAATAAATATAGCAACCTATACTAAAATAATGTATTTTTTAGCACTAAACCAGTTTACTTAAAACACAAATATATATTTTATAGATAAAATATTGTGTTATACAAGATTTTCTATATTTTTATTAATAAAAATATAGAAACTTTTGCATCATACAATATTTTACTAATAAAATATATATTTATGCTCTAAGTAAACTTATTTAGAATCAAAACTATATTGTTGTAAAACAGGTTTTTATAGATTAGCTTAGTGTAGTACATAATTTAGATTCTATATTTTGTATTATTTAGCTTATAATTATTAACTTATATTTTATATTGGATATTATTATTATTATATTTGTATTATATATTATTATTGGTATAAGAGTTAACAGAAATTTTGTTAAGTAAAATATTAAAGTAGAGCCATGGTAACACATATTGTGGCTAAAATAAACAAGGTAGTATCAAAGATAATGCATAGCTTTCAACTTTTTTAACATGTCCTTCAACTTTCTCAACATGGCTCTCAAGTTTCTCAAGTCTCTTTATTCTCTCAACACAGCCTTCAACTCCCTTAACATGGCTCTCAAGTCCCTCAACTCTCTCCATTCTCTTAATACAGCTCTCAACTCCCTCTACTACCTTGGCTTGAC